TGTTACTTTTCACTGTACTGGAATCGTTTGATTTAATAATGGTGACCTTTGACTGGCAAATTTTGTGAATTCGGATTTTTTTTTGTAATAGTAAATGATAGTAATAATTTTCTTTTAATAGTATGTTTCTTTCTATACCTCTTGGGCAATACTATGAAGATACATACTTCGCGCGATGTAATCGGTCACAATTTATGCACTTCAGAGGACTTACATTTTTAGAAAACGAACATGATATCTAGCGCTCATTTCACACAAATCAAATAAAAATATCAATTTTCGTGAATGTGAGTAAATTTGAAGTAACTGCGGCAATAAACCACAACGTCTTTGTTTTGCATTTTTCAGTTTGGAGTGGAAATATATTTAGTTCCTTTAGTTTGTAAATTTTAGTAGCTTCAAGCGTAAGTAAAATTAAAAAAATTGGTAGCCGCGTGTGCGTTTTAAAATTACATAAGACATTTTAGAGTTTTATTTAGTTAATTTAGTTTCAGACCGAAAAATAATAAGATTTTGGATGGTGCAAAAGAATAGGTTTAACCCTTTGCAGTCACATTTTTACCGTTCGAGTCCCACGTCTGCTACCTGCACGCATCGACGATATGATACCTCAAAAAATTACGTAAGCTCAAAATACGATCTTAAAATTTTACGTAAGCTGAGATTGATAATTTAGCTACAAAAGAAACTGCTGAAGTTTCGTTTCATATACGTTAAATAATCATTACAGTTTTAAGTTTGCTTACGACTGGAGCAATGTTGTAACATATGTTTTAAAAAAGTTTCAAGAAAACATGGTTTTGGTACCGGAAAAATATTACTGTGATAATCACAAAAGGCACTTGAAAACCTTTAAAGTGTATTTTGATCTGCTTAGAAATCGTTTATATTCATATTATCAATTTATAGGGCACATCATAACTTTTACAGAAACCTTGCGATTTTACCAATTCAGTCAGACTGTAAAAATATTTACAAAATCAAAAATCATAAATGCAAAATTTGTGTGATATTGATTTTTGAAATCTTTTAATGTCAAAAAATGCAATTTTAGCCATATTTAATCACAAATTCATCCTTAGTAGCACAAACATCGAGTGTTTTGCTGAAAATATATAATCCAGCTATCTCTGAGCAATAAACTGTGCATGAAATTCAGAAACAGCAGAAACTGACATAATCTTGAATTTAAATTATTGCAGAGCAAATGACATTAATGAGAGATATCGATCAAATTCTAAAGATCTAGGTGATAATACATTCTTTAAATTAGATTAAGAAGAATCTTATAATGCAAGAAAAGAGTTCTAAAGTGACAGCAAAAATCTCCCCTCCAAAAACTAGAAATAGTGTTTATACAGAGAAACGTGTATCAGACTTAATTATGAATCAAGAGTGGAGCGTTAATGCCCTACTAACATGTGAGGAAATACTATTCAATGTTGCCAAAATCTCTGCTAAAAGGGAAAGAAAAAGGGATGTGACTTAAATAAGAAGAGAAATATTTCTTTGGGATGTTTCCCAGCTTTGACTTGATCCCCATTTAAAAAAAAAATCAGCAATAAATTTCGTACCTTAATTGATTTTAACAGTATTTGCATTTAAAGAATTTTGATAAATGCAAAGTCCATCGTTTTTGCTTTGCAAGAAATAATTAGAGCACGGCTGTCGTTATACTGAACTATTGGTATACAATGAGTATCCTCACCTGACTTTGTATTGAGAATGGAGCTCAAAGATGTAACACAAAGAAACATTTTTCAACGAAGTAAACTCCTATTTGTTTACACATCATCTTAAAATTAGGGAAAACATAGTGACGAATGATGAATACTTGATGCCCGTAAATCACTAAAGGAAACTGTTATTCGAACAACTAACATATCTAGACTTAGTCACCAGTTTTAAAAATTCCAAAAACCTTCATAGTATTTGGACAGACAACACCCCAAACAAAAAGAGATAAACATTAGTAATTTTCGTCAACGCACTTTATATTTTTGAAAAATTTAAAGCTAAAACAAGGATAGCACGGTATGAATGCCAAAGAACTTCACTGATATCGTTAAGTATTGTCAATCACATCCTTGATTTTCAGAAACTAATTCGCAAGGAAGTAGAGTTCTTAAGATATACCACAGTTATTTTCTGGTTTGGAGAAAGAAACCAGTGCAAGACATAACGCTGATATGATGGGAAACGCTTTTGCTTCTGTTCCTGAGGTCATATCAATCACATCTGTTGTTTCGACAGAATCCCAGAATTTTTTTATATTTTCCCCGCTCATAGAAATATAAATCGTAACTGACAATCCGTGAAATTGAAAGAAACTTCTCTTTCTATTGTACCAGCGATTCTGGTACACTATCAGCTTAAATCCAAAGTACGCTGTAAACACCTGTATCTCAAATTATGTGCGATCGTATATATTCGTTCTCCTCGAAAGACAGGGAGACAAGCACACTTTCCTTAAAGCACGGCTTGTTGTCATATCATAGCAATTATGCCATGCTTTAGAAATAACGATTCTCCAATAGCAAATTCCCGGAAGGAAGGAGATTCCTTTTTCAAATTATCGTCTGATAACACACGCCAGATGCTTACGTTATATTTTAATAAAATGTATTCCAGTTTCATATATTAGAGTAGAATGATGGATGCTTACTTCTGAGCTTGGCTTTCGTAAAGGCAAATCAGAAACTTATTGCTTCTATTTTTACGAATATCAATGTGAAATGCTTCTTCAGAGGTAAGCAATTTCACTGCCGCTTTTGCAGTACATAAAAAGCTAACGAGAGAATTTGGAGATAGGTAATCCTTTGTTATTTTTACGATGCTTGCTTAAGTGAAAATATACCACTTTTTGTTCATAATTTTACGAAGCTTCCGGTTTAAAATCGGACATTTGCTGCCTAGATAGAATTTGTTCAAGAAAGTGTACTACATGGGTTGGGTTTTAAGTGTCACATTCTTCTGCCTTAATATCAGTTCTGTTTGAAAGAATTTCCCCTCTTTGGGAATAAATAGATTTCTGTTTACGAATTATTTACAGATAATTTGTGAAATCTGAGTTATAGAAGCAGCTGACACAAAAAAGGCTCTACTGTGATTACATCCTTGCTTAGATTATTTCACCAGAGAGCGGAGGAAAGCAGTGATAAAGTTAGCGATGAAGTAAGAGGTGTAAAACCGCGAAAAATCAGGTTAAAAGTAATGAATATGAAAGGGACGGTGATTTTTCCAGAAGAGACAGAAAATTCAGAACAGATAACGTGCACATGATCCGAAGAAAATCGAAAAGAATGCCGTCTGCATCCGGCAAACGAGCTGCAAGACCGCAAGTATCTTCAGACATAATAGAACTATTAGAATTTTTGGGAAATCATTATAAGTTTGGTGTAAGAAATTCACCAAATAGGGCGGAAAATCTTCTCGAGTTGCTGGTTCACTCGAGTGGAAAAGGTCTCGAGTGCAAAGCGTTAAAAGTAATGATGAATAGTTTGAGATTTCAATGTGAAATGAAAACTTCAAATTAGGTCTGAAGGACGTTAGTGACACTGATATAATATCTTTGAACTAACCGATGTAAATCTAATTGGTAGTGCTGCCAGAAAACTTTGCTGATGGTAAAAGGTTAAAATAGCTGAATGTGAACTAATTATGATATGATGGCATGTAATTTCTCCTAATTTTAAAATTCGAATTGATGTCTTGAATAAATTCTTTCCCATATATCAACGAATAGATTTCGAGAAATATTTTAAATGCCTATAATGTCAAAAACATTTCCATTCCTAAAATTTATGTCGGAACACATCATATGGATTAGAGAATATTCTTTCAATAGTTCGCAAATATGTCATGCACACTGCGGGGGAAAAAAGGGGGGAAGGGGAACAGTTCTGCATTTCCCGTTCTTCTGGGCCGATTGACGAAATTCAAGTTGCATTTTTTACGTCTCCAAAGCGCGACTTAAGACACTGTATTAGGTTTACATACAGCATTATTCTAATATAGGTACTTTGACACAAAAATCGGTCTTTTTCTGAAATAAGATACCAAATTTTTTCCGTATTTCAATTCTACGGTTCAAATTATGCCTAGCTGCCAAGTTTTGTAAACGTCGCACATTTTTAAAAAATTAGCTCTCAAAATTTTAGCTCCTCAATGTTAATTGAATTTAGTATATATTTATGAATCTCTAATTTTTATTAAACTTATTTAATTATTCCTTTCACATTTCGAAATTTAGGTTCATTCCTAATAAAATTCTATCATTTTTAATTATTTATTTTTTAAAATCTGCACTTTTGAATAATTTGTATAAACTTTGAGAAAAACATTTTGAATTGTAATCTATAAAATTTTTACCATCATGTTAAAGTAGATGTATTTTTAAGCGTACCTGGAAAAACTAGAGTTTTTTATTCAAAATTTCCGAAAATGTACGTTAATTTATATACTGGCGTGTTTTGAAATTTGGCATAGTTGTTGAAAGCAATTATCAAATGCTGTTTAGGCCCTTTGTTAAAATTCTTTGAAAGTAGGAACTACTAAAGTCTATTTTTTCCGCTCATGCACAATGTGAAAAGGGAAAGGAAAATAGGCTGCCATATATTAAGAAGTTAGCCAAGTGAATTATTCTTGGCGCAAAATGAAAAAAATGTACCAAGATAAATATTTGAATTTCTCTGTAAATTTCGCACCAAATATTGTAAAATTCAATATTTAGGCACAATTTGAGTCGCATAATCGAAGTATGGAAAAAAATGGCATATCAGTTCTTAAAAAGTCCGATTTTGTGTCAAAATATCTATATTGGAACAGCGTTAAATGTAATCCAATATACATCCTAAGCCACGCTTTCGAGACATGAAAAACGCAATTTGAATTTGATTAATTTGCCCAGTAGAACGGGAGATACAGGAGTACCCTTGTTTTCCGCGCAGTGTACATTCATTTTCTAAAGTAATAAAAATGCAGAAAAAAAAATATCTTACAGTTAATATCGATGATCACAGAAGCTTCTTTCGGTTTCGTAACGTTATTGTTCCAAGCTTTGCAGGTATATTCTGCCATGAAATCCGATCGGCTAATATCCCGAACGACCATTTCATTCCGGACAAATCTTTGTTTTATGATGCTGAAATCATCGTCTACTAGAGTATTACCACGCCACCAAGTCACTTTAGGAGAAGGATCACCTTGTCAAACAGAAAATAAGTAACAATTACTCTCAGGATAGAGCCATTTAAGATAAAATTGTAATGATGAATTTTATTTAAAAACTGAAATTAGGCACAAGAAATACAATTTATTATTGTCTATGGTAATAAACATGCGTTACACTAATAGCATTTCTTACAGCAGAAACAGTTACAAAAATGTAATAGTATAGCAAAGTATGAAATAAAAAAGAATCTCTTAGCAAGATAAATTTTTTATTAGGCAAGAAACTAATGAAATGTTTGATGTTTGAGGAAAAACAACCTAACAAAAATTTTAGGCAGCTCCTATTTATTATAAGTTATCTAAGATTATCTTTAAATTCTTCATAGAATAAAATATGGTTAATCTTCGGATTGTGGTAACTTGGCCATTTTTTGGTGAAACTTTGGCGACCAACGCTGCTACAGCAACCTGCTAGCTTTTTTTTTTTTTTTTTTTTTTTTTTTGCACGCTATTTTGTTTTTCACGAAGTAAAGGATTTTTTTTTTATTATTATTAAACTCAGCATTTTATTCCAACAATCTGCTAGCCGAATTACGCTTATGCTAGAACTTTTATGGAACAAAAGTGCTTAATCATGACGAAGATTAGGTGCGAAATTGGGAGAAAGTGCAGAATCGCCCACTGCTTGCAGAGTTTTTAAGAATTGCACATACACGGTGTCCATGTACATGTCGACCTATTTTCACTTAAAAAAAATCCTAGAATTGCACAAAAATGGCATAGTGCACACTCTTGACTTTATCCATGTACACTGCTAAAGTCCTAGCTAGAAACCTTTATCGCCTTACCAAAGTGTCGCCAAACTACCTGTTACCATATTACAAAGATTAGCCTAAAATATTTAAGATTTTTCAAAAATAATAACAATTTTAGAGATTTAAGCCTTTGAAACAAGCAGAAATTTTAATCTCAAGTGTTTTTATTGAAAATATTTTTATGAAAAAATAAATTAAAAAAAAAGAATGACGTTGCTCTATGCATATAAAATAGTTCCGATTTACTCATTTATTGAAATGCTCTCATTGATGTGAATGCGTAATTTTGGTGTCGCATTAAAGTTTATCTTGTAATTAATGTTGATGTAAAGAATTTATTAGTTCGGAAGAGTTAATGTAATCTAGATTCGACGATATATTCAAATATTTTTATTCTTTTTGAGAATAATTTAGTTTCAAATTTTTAAAGCTAGGTAAGGAAATCATTCATATTTTATGAAAAATGTGTCGCGAATTCTAGAAATATATGTTTTCGAAAGAAATATAAAATTGCCCATTAATCTGTGAATACGGCAATACCTTTATAGTGAGAAAAAAATCTCAAAATTTGCATAACATTCTCTGTAAATAGTAAAATTTGACAAGATATTTCTTGTAATTCGCAGAGGATGAATACTAGCATTTTCAGGGCAAAGTGTAAGGAATTTGCGAACGTTTTTCGCGGCAGTTCTTGAAGAATGGTATTCAAGTTATTCAAGTACGAGAAATAAATTAACACATCATATAACAATTTTAAAATAAATCTTAAAATTCGCGCAAGTATTCGATATTTGGGAAAAATCTGATACTCGCGAAATCACGAAAAATCCCCTAAAATTCATAAAAACGGTCGCGGAAATTTGCCCTGAGATGAAGTTACTATCCTACTTACTACCACATAAAAACCGAGTAATTATTTAAGATCTGTATTTCCATATTTATTGTTCAAATTTATTAAAATGTTTAGAAAATATTAACGTCATAAATACCTATAATTTGCGCGTATGGAACATTCATATAATTTGATAATGGTAGATAATTACCTCCGTCTACTTCACATATAAAAATAAGCGTAGATCCTTCATCAAAAGGTCCTATGATATCATGTAAGCTTTGGCCGTGCTCATCCATTATGATTGGCTCTCCAGGTGGCACTGAAATATCAAACAAATGCAAATCTATTTTATTATTAAATTCAAATACTTCAATAATTTTGATTAAATTTTTAAAACACTAAAAAAGTGGCCGCCGAAATAAAACAACCTAATAATTTAGTTTCGTTTTTAAAAGTATAATCCATTGTTTTTATAAATGTATAAAAGCCCCCAATTGTTATTTGTAATATAAAATTACAGTAATTTTGCGTGATAATCGTAACTATAAATTAAAAAAAAAAAAAAAAAAATCTGAAATGTTTCAGATTTTAAATTACGTCCAAAGGGGCGTTTTTTAACATTTTGTGTGTTACCTTTCTTTATTAAATATCATGTTCCTCGCACTTAAACCATAAGATCCAGTGCAAGAGCAATATCGCAAAATAGTTTTAAAACGAGCATATCTTTAGAATTTCCGATACAGAGACTCACGCGCTGGAGATAAAAATGTTTTTTCTGCACAACGTTGCCATTGCTCGCTTTGAAATCCTTGAGTTTGTTAATCAAAAATTCGTCAAAGTTTTAAAAAAATAGGAAATCGATCATAAAACAAATTTCAAATTTCAAATTTGGTCTTCCACATGCTCATATTCGTTGGAGGATTACGTTATTCAAAATTCGATGACTCTATGTACCGTTGTTTTATCACAATACGAGAAATATACATACATGTATGCAGATTTTTCATTATTTAATTTCTTCAAATATAATGCAGGACTCTAACATTTTGTGGCAACAGTTTGAAAAGTGAACCGACATTTATGAGTCCGACGCAAAATGACCAAAACGAAACTAATAGTCCTTCGGGACTCAAGTCCCTTTGGACTAAAAAAAAAAAAAAAAAAATGTTATGCAGCGGTTCAAAAACGCTGAATTATATGGATCCTAGTTACACTAATCTCATAATTTTTTGCTGTTGTCTTCTGACATTCTTGTGAGAAATTGGATATTGCCAAAACGAAACTAATAGTCCTTCGGGATTCAAATCCCTTTGGACTAAAAATAAGTATCAAACGCAAAACTTTCAATAATGTCCTAATTTTTTATAATCTTATAATGTGATCAAAAACGGGAGTAGACTGCGCCCATAAGTCATTTGGAGTTAGGAATGTGTTCTCAAGGAAAGAAATATATTCAATAGCCTTTGATGGCTGCTACCATCTTTAGGCATCCATTTCTAAATCATTCTATATATGAAATTACATATTACATTATATACATATATAAAATATTATGTATATAATGGAACATACATATATATATATTCAATATTTCTTTAGTAAATAAATTATATATATATATATATATATATATGTGTGTGTGCTGCAAAATTAAGGAAATTAGAAGATAAATTTTAGTACGCACGCTAAAAAGTTACCAAAAACCGTGGCTCCGTGAAAACTTCAACATAAGCATATTTAGTTGCTATGAAATGTGTGAAAGAGTAGAAAAAAACAATATTTGAATATTTAAAAGTAAAATTAATAAAAAGTAAGATATATGCTAAACGAATTAAGTAATTATTAACACAGTAAAAAACAAATTAATGGAAGAGGTAAAATAAAAATAGTAAGCTATATGCTAAACGAATAAATTAGATTTTAAAACACAGTAAAATACTAATCAATTGATCAAGGTAAAATATAAAAAAAAAAAAAAAAAAAAAAAAATATTAAAGATAAGAAGCGGTAAATGGTTAATTAGCGCAATCTGAAGTTCATACATATATATATACATACTTCTACATTAATTATATATACAGTTAAAATTGAAAGAAAATTACTAATTTTAATTTAACAACAGTCCTTTGAACTTCCTCATTTTAATTTACCTACCTCTCCTTCCTGGAATTTTACTGCGTCATTTGAAAACTAATTCACATAATGTAATCCGCGTTGCGAAGGCTCTTAAAATTTAAAACAAATTTAACAACACTATAAATACGCTTTGCTTACATGCGCACTAACATTTTCCTTTCCTCCTGCCTGTGTGCAAAAGCACGTTACACATTTCTCTGCTTCAGTCATTGTCTATTCGTTATAGAAAAGTTAGGAAGGTGCTTATGGTTAAAATGTTTACGTATAAAGTTTATATTAAGTTATTTATGCATAATGTTTGAAGGTTGCTTCTTCAAAAATGATGTGTGAACATTTTTATACTTGTTAAAGATGTCAGCAAATAATATTTATTTGTTAACTCCTCGTGTTCCACAAAGTATACAACGGCAGGAATACATAAATATGCCATTTATGGTGAAATTAAGCTCCATTATATCGTCTTGTGATTCTACGCATTAAAGCGTTTCCAAATAATTACAAATTCTCGTAAGTAACAGCTATCTTCTAACCCTCAAGTCATATACATACGTGTGTATGCGTTGGCCGTCTAGACCAGGAATCGCTTAGAGACGCAGCGTGTCGTACTGAAGGGCTGGGTTTCGAATTCCTCAGAAGGCTGGATGTTTCTAAATGTACAGTGTCTGTGCGGCATGGGGAGCCCACAAAAGATATGGAGAGGTGAATGTCCTCTCGGGAGTTTAGTCGCAGAGGAGGAGGGCGGAAGACCCTCGGATCGTTCCCCGGGCAGCTGTCCTCACAAATTGGAATGAGCAAAGTCGGACTGTTAAGGGCCGTTTCCACAGGGCTTTATCTGAGCTAATGGACACAACTGACGTAGCCGACCTGTCTCCAAAATCAGTTTTTTCCCTCATAGGGTAGCAAGTTGAAAAATTTGAACTGCAGGCACAGCGCAGCTAGTCGACGCATGGAATTGACTCCATTAGTTCAGATAAACCCTAGTCTCTTTATTTATATGATGGTCAAGGCTTTTGCTAATGACAGATACAATCTTGTACTCCATGTCACGAAAGAATTCGTAAATTTATTCTGAATAGGTCACAAAAATGAAAGTAGTCACAATAACAACAACATATATATATGTAATGATATTTTTTAATCAATTGATTAAATTAAATTCTAATAACATTGCTTAATAATATGTTGGCGATTCTCTACCTAAATTGCATCCCTGTTCCTAAATTTTGGCAACATCCTTTCTTTAGTATAAAGTATATTAACCTGTTAGCGCCCGCCAAATCGCCAAACTCATAAATCTGTCATATTACATAAAGTCCTTAAGAACACTCCTGATGAGAATAGCGTCACCTCGTGATTTCAATTAATATCGCTGATTGGATGAGCCTCGTGACGCACACATATGTATAAATAGGGCTTCTGCTCAAGGTACGATAAGAAACGCTTGTGAGATGTATGCTAAAATAAACCTCCCACTTTATATTCCAAAATTTGTCTCATTCCTGTTGCCCCGGCTGCACAAAACAAATAATATATAAAAATTACATTTCATATATGCGTGTGTGTGTGTGCGCGGGCGCTTATAAGTGCGTTTAATTTAATATTAAATTTAAAAGCAAATTCAGTGATCATATTCAGGTACTGAAAATGCCAATTTTTGTAAAAAAACAAAAAATGGAATTCATTCGAACAGCAATCGTTATATGAATTTGATACACGTAAAATGTTTTTGAATAATTAAATACTATTGCATAATTCTCCTGTTTTTAGTACATTTGGAATTTTTTTTAAATTAATTTTTTTTTAAATGAAGAACATTTTAAATATATTTCAGTTATATCAATTTGACAAAGTGATAGTTTCTAATGATATGAAGGAATTTCTTTCTTTGCCTACTTTGCTGTATCTGAATATGACTTTTGAATTTTATTTTAGTGTAAAAAATTATTATTAAATTTTTAACATGTAATTTAGTAGTAGTTTATTAGAACTTATTGCTGACTATTTAATCTTTTTACTTTATTATAACACTGAACCCCCAAAGTGTTAACTCTACTGATCGTAGAAATATGATTCCAGTTACAAAAAAGTGTTAACTATTGCAAATAGTTAAGCTTCGGAGTCCTTAAATTAAAGAAAAAAAGAAAAAAAGAAAAATATTGTGAAAATTATAAATTTAACTCGCAGTGCTTATATTTAAGTTCAGGATAATTTATAAAGTATTACATTCTTGTATGAAAAAGATTGAGCGAAATATGTAATTTTAAAATTGGAGATCTTTGTAAGTAAAAATTAATTATCAGCTTCGAAAATGTTTGGTATTTGCAGTTTATTTTACGAAATTCTATGGAATTGGCACTATTTCTATGGAATTTTCTTAAAATATATTGATGAATATAATTTTTAAAAAAATGGAATCTTATTTGCAGAATCTTACACAATCCGGGTTCTAGGAAATGGTGGCAGATGTCAGTATTGACACATAATCAACTTGCAACACTGTTTAAAAAAAATTAAATAAAATTATCTAGAGTTTAACTTATTTTACCATTCATTATTAGACTATGATTTTAAAACAATAAAATTTGGTAAGGATAATTATACCATACTTTTAGCATTTAAAAGCTTATAAAAATTCTTTCGGTACAACAATGGAAACAAAATTACAGAATAACGAATGTTATCTCCAGTAAATCACAGAAGAATATCACAGAATTGCTTTTAGGAAATGGCATCTAAGAGAGGAAATTTAACCCGAATCATTCTAAATTATTTATTAACCGACCACTCAAGACACGCTGAAAATGATGCCAACTATGCCAAATTTTGAAATTAAATATCTCGATCAAGTTCTGACATATGGAAATCAAATCATTTGTGCAAAAGTTTCCTAAATATAAATGTACGGAATGAGAGAATGTATAATGTGCTAGATTTTGTAAACTCTATAAAACTGATTTTTTATATTTAAAAATACTATACTTTAAACATCTAATGAAATTGTCGATTTAAATTATTACGGTAATAAACAATACAATGTACAATTTAAATGGAGTACATGATAAATTTTAAAAAAATGAAAATAATAACTTTACAATACAGGACGTATATCGGATTTTAGGCATGTATTTCGGCTGAGGAAGAAGCTTATAGATCTTTGCTTACGTGATTCAACTTTTGAAAAGT